ATTAAAGAATTATTACATAAAGTTGATTTTGGACCTCATTTGTCACACCCTGGTATCCCACCTTTTGGCAAATGCTCGTGTACTTAGATATGGCCACCTCTATTCTCACCCCGGGTGAGAATAGTGCAGGCGAGTCCTTTGGCTATTCTCAGCCGGTGCGCGTTCACCGTTATAGCCTAGATCTAGGCCAACCAATTTTGCGTTCACCCTAAAACACAGAATTCTACACTGTGATAACAGAAAAATTGTAGAATTCTGTGCCGTGAACAAACGTTCCATTACTACTGTTAGCCTACTAAAAGTAAAAGCGTACAATTTTGTCTGTGGGCAGTGGAGAGAGAAAGAGAGAGAGAGGAGTAGCGCGAGAACTTCCGGGCAAAACAAAATGGCGACCCGCGTAGTTCGGCTCTATTCGAAAAGTTAAATAGCTGTAGCATCTTTGTAGACGACCAAATTAATTTACTTTTGTGTTTTAATATCATTTTTAAACTTTGTTTTGGTCAATTTGATCGTCCACACCGATAGACAGTATTCAGAAAGAGATAGAGAGCGAGAAGAGGGGAGGAGTAGATCTTGCGAGAACTTCCGAGCAAAACAAAATGGCGACCCCCGTAGTTTGGCTTGATTCGAAAAGTGAAATAGCCATAGCATCTTTGTAGTCGATAAAATTAGCTTACTTTTGTGCAATAACGTAATCTTTTCTTTGCCTTTATCCATTTGATCATCCACATCGATAGAAAGTATTCCGAAATTAGGAAAAACAGGTCTTGTTTCACACCGGGTGAGAATAGCCTACGGTGGCAAGTCTCACCCGGGGTGAGGGGTCGATCGTATTTCTATTCTCACCCCGGGTGAGAATAGCCACTTCCCTTAGATATTGAGGCTATGCGCCCGGTTACCGTGTACATGACATTGAGACTACACGCCCGGTTGCCGATTACCGTGTACGTAGATATTGAGGCTACGCGCACGGTTACCGTGTACATGTGTATATGAGACATTGAGACTACGCGCACGGTTACCGTGTATATGCAACATTGAGACTACACGGTGAAGGAAAAATGAATGTCAACGTCATGAAGGGAGCAAAGCAGTTACCCTGCACCTAGCTCACCCCCCCCCCCCCCCCACGAAACTAAATACCCGGTTACCGTGTTCTTAGATGAGAGGCGCCCGGTTGCCGGTTACCGTGTACGTAGATATTGAGGCTACTTGCCCGGTTACCGTGTATGTGACATTGAGACTTCACGCCCGGTTGCCGGTTACCGTGTACGTAGACCCTGAGGCTTTGAGTCATTATCATTGACGCA